CGCGGGTCACGGTGCGGGCCACGGCGGCGCGGGTCACGGCGGCCACGGCCAGCACCAGCGCTTCGGCCGCCACCAGAGCGTCGACAACCTGCACCTCCCGCCGCCTCGGCGAATCAGGGTAAAGGGGCGTCAGATCCATCCGCGCAGCCCATCAGCCGATGAGCTTTGCGTTTACTGTGGGGTGTCCGTTTTACTCTGAAAATTTTCCGACAGAATTTGAATCTTTTTCAGAAAAAAAAATGGAAAAATTTGGATTATTTCCAGAAAAATTGGAAACAAATGAAACTCTCCAAGAATAAATTCCCAGATTTCTTTAAAAATTTCCATAAATATACTTAACCGGAAAATTAAAATCCGTAGCTTTGCCCCGTTTTGAGTGAACGGCGATAGGAGTGCGGCCGGGTCGCCTAGTCGCACAGGGGCCTCTCCAAGGCGCCGTGCTTTGAATTTGACAGGCAAATCTGGGTGCGCGACTGCATGCGGACTAACTCATCCCAAGGGATCCCTTAGGGGTCGTCCAGAAAGTACGTCCGTTTTTCTCAGATTCATTCGGCAAATTACGGGAGCTCGGCGCCTGCGAAACTTCGGGTAGGCAATCCCGCCGTACACACATGCACAGCAGGAAAGATGTTGCCGACCTATCAGGCGCTATCAGAGCTTGGGCACGCTAAACTTGGCGGTTTTGTAATTGTGAATGACGGACGTACTTTTTTGGACGATCCCTTCTACCATTGTTTGTGCACTTGACCGCGCTCGCCTCACGTCCAACTCTTGAACTTGGGGGAACCCCTCTTCGCTTTAATAACTTGGCAAAACGCCTAGTACCCTGTATATCTCTCCTCCCCTTTTTCGTTATTTCCACCTCCGGAGCTGCTGTCCGTTGCTGTCCGTCCGTTGCTGTCCGTCCGTTCCTGTCCGTCCGTTCCTGTCCGTCCGTTCGTCCCCCCGTCTCGCAGGGGCAGGATGGTGGCGTTTCCTCCGCCGTCGTCGACAATATTCCTGGAATAGGCATTGGGAGGCGGGGAGGGGGGGGGGTATACAGCGGCCGACCGATGCCTCACCTTGCTGCTAATGGGCCTGGAGGACCAACCTCGTTGGAAAGCCAACGAGTCGCGCCGAGCGGGCGAGCGATATCACTTACCGCACGCTCTGCCGCCTCGTGCCGGCCCCTCCCCTGCCCCCTCACCAACCACCGTTGTGTTGTCGCCGAGCCTCGGCTGCAGCCAGCGCCGCTGCAGCGCCGCCTCTGCTGCTGCAGCCATTCATTCTCCTTTGCTCTGCTCCGTTCCCTCCGCTCGTTGTCCGTGACGTTACCCACGATATGTAGCGAGCGGTGATCTCTTCATCGCGCTGCTCGACTCGGGGTATAATCTGCGGAAAATGGAGTAGAAAATAAATTATTCTATCTATCTATCTATCTATCTATCTATCTATCTATCTATCTATCTATCTACCTACCTACCTACCTACCTACCTACCTACCTACCTACCTACCTCCGCCCACTCACCAAATGGGGATGGTAATTTTTTATTGTTGGTTCAATGTGTCCTTATGCACATCCAAATCCCATAAAATTTGTAACTAAGTTACACACAAAATAATGCATTTGTATCTGAGCATAGGTACAACTTGTACCTCCTTAGAGATAACTTTGGATCTTATGAAAGTGTGAACAAGCACACAACAAACCTAGGGCCAAAAAGATTGTACCTCCTAATGCAGTGCGCAGAGGCGCCTGCGATACGCCGGTTAGGCAGCCCACTCCACAGCTGAGTACGCGGGCTGCCTGCCAGAGGCGCCTGCGATATGCTGGGTAGGCAATCTGCTCTGCACTGCTGTTGGGCGCGCTGCCCATGTGGGCGCGTCGCGCTTATCCTTTGCTCTCTATCGGAGTGCCTGTCCAAAACGCAGAGGGGCTGATGATATGGCAGCGCCGAACGATCGATTTTATAAAACTATAGCACTCCGACGGCGCCCTCGCTTGGCCGTGCGTGCGTGCCGTGGAGCGTGCCGTCCGAGCACAAACACGTCACCGTCCATCACAGGCGCTTGTGAGCGGCGCCTGAGGGGCATTTTGCTTCAGTAACGTAGACTCCCGTGGCGGGGCGATCTCACCTGCTCCTCCCGAGAGGTCCACTATTACCGTGAAAATGCTCAATACTTGAATACTCATGAATATTAACACGTCCCTTGCGGCGTGACCACTTTGTGGTCACGCTCACATGTTATATCACAGGCACAAACAAAGAGCCGTAAGAATCGTAAAGAGTGGAATTCAGCTGAATATTATCAATTTCCAAATTTTGCCTGAAAATGCCTGTGAAAATGTCTGAAGTTGTGGCCCCCTTTGGCTCCTGCTCTCATTATCATCAGTCACATCGTCCTTTCGTCTCTCAGCTTCGCAGTGCGTAATGACAGGATCACATATACCTCAAACTAAACCTCGGCAAAGATTACGCCGTTGGATTTGTTTGCGGTGCACTTGGGCCGCCACCCTCCGGTCCGGTAGGTCGCGGCCTTGGGCGGCCACTGTCACTTTCACTGACCGCGGCCGGCTGGCGCTTATTGGCCGGCCGTCTCGGACAACCGCAAATGTCGATTTATTTTATTTATTATTACTGTATTGCCTTCTCCTTTGTGGGTAGTGTTTTCAGTTCCCACTCCGGCTCAATTTGGTGTTGTCGTCGTCCGAAGTTCCCCGAGGCGTTTCCGAGTCGGAACCTTGTCGGCCATGCGGCTCTTTGATAAAGACATTATTCCGGTGTTACGGTGTACTGCTGCCCTCCCCCCCCCCCTCCTCTCCTCCTGTTTCTCGAAGCTGGTTCCGTTGCGCCGTCGCGTGGAAGGGAGACGGCAGCTGTCGTGGCGCGGTGCGTTTAAGTCTCTCTGTCGTCCTGTCCGCCACGCCCCGCCACGCCCCGCCACGCCCCGCCCCGCGGAAGTGCGCCCAACGCCCCGAGCGAGCCACGCCGCGCCACGCCGCGCCCAGCCTTGCGAGGCGTTTTTGCTTTCACTCTGACCGCTCGCGCCACGCACCGCCACGCCGTAGCGCCGCCTAGCGCCACCCGGGGATGCCCCTCGCGGTTCTCGTGGACCTACCTCGTGGTCCTCGTGGACCTCCGTCGCGGTCCTCGTGGACTTCCCTGGTGGTCCTCGTGGACCTCCCTCGAGGTTCTCGTGGACCTACCTCGTGGTTCTCGTGGACCTACCTCGTGGTTCTCGTGGACCTCCGCCACGGTCCTCGTGGACTTCCCCGGTGGTCCTCGTGGTCCTCCCTGGTACTCGTGGACCTCTCTGGCTGTTCTCGTGGTCCTCCCTGGCGGGGACATCGTAGGACGTCACGGACTTCCCCCGCGGAACGTCGCGGACCTCCTGGACCAACCACCCGCCCCTCTCAGTCGATGGGCTGCTGCTGGTCAGAAGACGCCGGCGCCGGTGTCAGACAGGGACAGGGCGGGCGAGCGGTCAGCATCCCCGCTTCCCCCCGTGGGTCTCTGCTGCACCGTTTTGTCTGCCTGGCTCGTACTACAAAGGCCAACGCTCTGGGCTGGTATTACACTTGGTGTACACAAGGAGCGCGAGCCTCGGTGCCGGCGCTTTATATCGTGCCTTTCATGAAAGCGACATAGTGGCCCAAGTGCCGCGGGGCGCAATAGACTATACGTCTGGTGCTCTGCAATGTCTGGGAATGGCCCTATGGCCCTTATAGTCGTGTCACTGAGAGTCATTGACTGTTGACTGCCTGACGTACGTCGACGTGACGATTTGGGACAAATGCACAGTACACGACAGTATGGAGAGTACAGAAGGGTGCGGCGGGTCACCTGCTCACCACACACACGCGGTGACGATGTGCCTCTCTCAGTCCCCCTGAGCTGGCGCAGCCCGGCGGCCCGGCGCAGTGTCAAGAGCATGCAGGGAGAAAGTGGACAAGCGTCCTGGCACGCCAGAGGCACGCCTGTCGGCCTTACCAACCCCTTCGCTCCGCCACGGCCGCGTGCCTCCTCTCCAGGCTGCAACGTCTTGATATATTATTCAGACAAAAACAATCTCCCGCCCCCCTCCCTCCCACTCTCCTCATCCTGCAGGGGTGTTAAGCGAGGCGGGCAACCCGTCAAAGTGCCTGTCTGCCCGCCGTGCCTGGGAATCGCTTTGTCGGCTGCTAACCCATCCAGTGCAGAGGTGATGATAGGGTTGTGTGTGTGTGAGCAGCAGCTGGCGTGCACGGGGTGAAAAAAGACAAGAAAAAATAACTAGCAGAATGCAATGCATTTTTGGCTGAGCCAGTTTACATATTTAACCGATTTAACATTTGCAATTTTAATTAAATTAACTACTTTTCTTAGCTTTGCTTGAAACCATGCTAGTTGTGTATCGTAGGTTGGCAAAGCAACCTCTTTCACAAACCTTTTGGACCTATGAAACTTGACTTTGTCGTATTGTGTAATGCAGTGCAATACTTTTGAGTAAAGTTCGAACTCGGCCAAATGATCATGAGCAGGTCACGCGTGACTGCTCGAGGGAGGCACGCTGCTGGCCTGCATGTTGTAGAAAGCCTCCGTCTTGTGTCGCGCCGCGCCGGGGGGCGGGCCGGGCCGGACCTCCTGACGTCACCGGACCGGACCGTGCTCCGGCCCGCCTTTCATGGCGCGACGGGGAGGTGAGGCTCCCGCCGAGTAACGAGGGGATGACGTACGGAGCAAGTAGTACTGTTCTCTGCGCGGTACTCGGGAAAGAAAAAGGGGGGGGGGGAATAATACCTCATTCGTAATGGTACAAAAAGGGTAGACGTGGACTGGGTACAATTCACCATTATATCGAGTGCGGTTCAAAATGTGGGAATACCCCATTTTGTTTGGTTTTAAAAAGAGCTCAATTAAAAATTATGAGATATTAGAGTTCAATGAAAACTTGTCATCTGGTGGTTTGGAAGCCCCCTCGGCGTCCGTTTTTGTTTACTTTTACCATACTAACTCTGCCCTTTTGCCTCTGTCTCCAGCCTGTGGGGTCCGGTGCGGGAGGCGCCAGCGTCGGGACGCCCGGCCGGCCCAAGTTCGTCGCGGTCACGGCCCTGGAGGACGTGCAGGCGGTGCGCTGCGCCGAGTTCCACCCGCACGGCAAGGTGTACGCCGTGGGCTCCAACTCCAAGACCCTGCGCATCTGCGCCTACCCCAAGCTCAGTGACCTGAGGTGAGTTGAGTTGCCAGTGAATTTCTCAAAACGGCGCTGAAAATCTTAATCTAAAAATTATTAGATTTTGGAATATTGTTCTA